AATTGTTATTCCATTCGTAAGGACACGTTTCACCCTTAAAGTGATATATTGGTTTACATTTTCTGGAACATTTATCACATTTAAATTTTTCTTTTTCGATTTCTATTGCTTTTTTAAATTTGCAATCATCAGTATTGTGGTTATTTTTAAAGCAGAAAGAACACCGCAAATATACGTCCGAATGAATGTCATCCCAGGACCAATAGTTAATGCCCCATTCAACATGATCATTTTCTTTGCAGAGACCGGCAAAACACAAATTGCAAGTGGCTTTTTTTTCTTCTGGTGATTTGTTCCATGGGAGTGGAGGATTTGTTGGTTTGGGACCCCAGCCTTCTTCTTGATCTAGAGTAAATAATTATCAGTCAATATTCATAAATACTATACGAAATTATTTGTATATACTCACAACGCATTATTTGAAATATAATTATCAGTTATCTTAATATTAGCACGTTCAGTTCACGTTTAGATAATGATTATAAAATGACAAAATCAAAAATCTGATATTTATTTATTGTCGCGGCTGATGCTGGAAATGGCTGAAGCCGGAAATCAGGGACCCTGATTTAAAAATATAACCCTGCCAAAATCCACTTATACTCTCTCTCTCATTATCAAAACTAACCCTAAATCCTAATCTAACCATGAAAAAAATGCCAAAAAATGCAACCCGAAAATTTTTGAAAATTTCATATTAAAATATTTAAAATTTCCGTTTCCAGCTTCAGCCGCAGCATTTATTTATCGAAAAATCTTATATGTAGGAAAAGCTATATTTAAATAATATAATCTCGTTTCTGTACATGGCTTCTTGAATATAATTCAAACATTATATATATATATATATATATATATGAGTGAAAAACCCGAATTTTTCATCTAATAAGAATTACGGATTTTTTCTTTGCGGCTTCATATCCCTACCAAGTATATATTTTATTATAGAAATGAAATCATATAACAAAATATACTGTATATTTTACAGTTGTATTGCTGTATATTTGAGGCAAGATATGTAATATATTACATAATTTATTTTAATGCAGTATCACACTAGTTTTAAGCATCATGTGCATTTAGCGTTAGAATTTATAACGATAATACATGCTTTGTATATTTCTGTATTTATTCCGGTTTATCTTATTATTGGCTAATTTATCGATATGATATTATATTAATATAATTAAAAAAAAATTAATCCAATATATATATTGTCACTAATGTTATACACTTAGATTAAAAGCTCATCTATTTCTTAATCCTTTCTTTTTATAGATAATTTCTCTGAAGCAGCATAACTTTTTTCATAACAAGTTAAATTATAGTTTAAAGACCGATACAGTAAAGGTCACCGTAGTTTATTAAAATATTAAAAAAGTAATTTATTTTACAAATTTTCAAAAAAAAAATTAAGACAAATATACGAGACTAGAGTTTTGATTAATTATATTTGGGATTAATTCGTTATATATAAAATAATGAAGTTGAAATATTCTAAATTCAACAATGCAAAAACTATCGTTATCAATAAAGTCAATAAAGTATTGAAGCCAACGATTGACTAATAATGGATCAATTTTTTCCAATATTTCTATATGTCTTTTAATTTCTAAATAAAATATCATTAACTGTCTTTTTACAGCATCTAATATTTCTTCACGAATCTTCTTATCAAATTTAATCTTTAATACTTCCCATTTAGAAATAGCGCTGCACTTTTTTTTGTTGTCTTCACTATTTTGTTTCTCAGTGATGTCCTCTTCAATACACTTGTTTTTGGCGTCTTTTTTCTTTAAAATCTTAGATTTCCTCTTCGCTATACTTTTCTTTGACGTCTTCTTTTCACGATTTCTTCGCCATTGCATTTTTTTCAGTGTCTTTTTCATTTAAAGTCTGGATTTTTTTTCCATTATACTTTATTTCAGCATCGTCTTCTTTTTTATTTAAAATTTTATTAATGGTATTGTTTTTAACTTGAATTTGTTCATTTTTTTGTTCCTTTATAGTTGACATGATGAAGGCAGCTGAATTAGAAAGATTATCGCTTGAATCATTGGTTGACATGGAAGAAATAGATGATGAGGTTAACAAAGAGGCATGATTTTTATTTTCATAATTGTACAAGTAGTAGCAAAAAGAAATGCTTGAATACAAATAATAAATAAACAAAATAAGGGTGAGAGAGCATAAGATTGCAAAGAAATCCATCTTGCAAATTTAATTTCTAAGCATGTTTTGTCAAAACTTAAATACTTTCATAGTGAATTCGAATCTGCACAGACAAAGTCTTTACATTTTATCAAGACTTGATTTTTCGCAAATGTGCATTATCGTGCAGTATTTTGAGGCTTAGCACGCGTATTATAACGCGTTCGATTCTATTATCTTACCTCAATTCTAATTAAGCAATTGACTGATTTTACAACTTTGACTCTAATTATACAGTAAATTAAATTCAGAACCGAATTTATTTTTTTAAATAATAAATTCGGTTTACAATCTCTTCGTGAAACATTATGCGATTTAAAAGGTCTAAAAGTAACTTATATATATTCAATAATCAGGTTTATGTAACGTACGTACAAACAGAATTGTAAAATCACTAAATATTATTTGATCACTTTAAAAATGTAACACTAATATTAAATATATTAAATATATTATATATATATATATAGATGAAATAGAATAGTAAATTTCAATTAATAAAACGTATGTAATGTACTTTAAATTATTAA